AATTGGATTCTTTTTCTACAAGACGGGAAGGAACATTTTCAGTATCCAATTAACGTCCGAACGTACATATCAATTCAAGTAAGTGAACAATCCTCTGCATAACATTTTAAATTAATCATCTCTTGACAATATTTATACGGCGAGCTACCTCACTTTAAATTGTAACTATAGAGCTACGTGAACTCGGGTTCTGTTTGACCATAAAATTTGTATCCTTTTGTCGTTTCTTTTTTAAGTTGCACGCACGACATGGCTACAACKGTCGTGGATTTACTTCAAACATTTGTTGTTTTTTTTTAATCTCTACAAATTGTAATGATTACAATGACATGTTGCATGCACTTTTTGTTGACAAAAATTGTACTGTCTAAATCGGACTTTAGAAAACGTGTTGGTATACTACTGTTCTAAACTGTGCTCTCGCGAGAAAACGTATTAGGTCAAGTTCCACATGAGACATCAAAAAAGGCTAATTTCGAAAGTCAGTTGATCTTTRTAATTCCTTTTGCATTAGAAACCCCAAGACCCGAATTATTTAAATTTGAAAATATATTAAAGTTAACCTTTTGTTATCTTGGAAAAGTTCAATATTTTTAAGTTACCTTTTCTAGGGCCAGAACATAAAGGCCAAAAAGAATGAATTTCGTTATTGGATATTGATAGGTASCCATCATCTACACTTATCACATGACCATGACCAATTTGCAAAATATCAACTTTCCGCTACAGGAGGAATGATTGAATTTGMGTTGTGGACAACGTAATGTCCACAACGTTTAAACTTTCTAATCCCCTGAATCTCATGAATAACTGGTTAGACACACTAAAATGCTATTTAGGATCCTATGTTAGATTTATGGTACAACTATTTTAGCATAAACGTTCCATTCTATAGCCTCGATTTTTTGAGTAATTTGTGGACATTACATACCATTTGATTCATATTTCAAAAATATATCAAACCTATCGTCCGAAATTATGAGATATCATCGCCAATATTTTTTTTTCAGAAAGTACTAGTGCTAGGAAACTTAAAAATATCAGCAATAATATCCCATTATTTCTGATATATATTATATATACTTGGAATATGTGCAAAAAAGATCATAATTGCTGCATATTTAAGTAATAGATAACTTTTTCCGTGTTTACATAGCCTGGTGCAAACACGAGGGTAGGTTGGGAGAATTCGAGACGGTTATGCAAACCCGAGACGAAGTCGAGGGTTTGCATAACCATCGAGAATTCTCCCAACCTGCCCGAGTGTTTGCATCAGGCTATGTAAACACAGGGAAAAAGTTATCTATTGCTTTTATAAAATAACTCTTTTTTCTAAAATATGGCTTTAAAAACTTTAGAATTCGAGTATAATTTTTATGATCAAAACTAGGTTTCTCCTTACCTCAAACATTTCAATGGCTTTTTCAACCAGCCAATTACAGTTCACGTTTTAACGAAAGGCGAAGTTGGCAGTTTTGACAAAATGTGAAAAAAATGGCAGACGACGGCGGGCGACTTTCTTTCTTTCTTTTTGCATCAAAATTGCCTTTTTAGTGACCTTAGATGAATCATAAACTATGTGTTCTTTGAGGAGAAAGGGTGCATGTCTGTCAAAAGGTCAACTGGACGCAAAAAAATTAGAAAAAGGTAGGTAAAACCAGCAACGGAATGTGTACTGCTTTCGCTGAATGAAAACATTTACATCTTCGTCGATTCACTGATTTGAAGTAAAGCTTTATGTTACGTTTCCTTTCAGAATTGGTATGGAAATGATATCAAGATGAGATTTTTGAAAAACTGCAGGAATATACTTGCTGAAAGACTTTGTTTTGACACTTTAAATGATGTTTGATTAGCCGCTTCGACGTGCCGGCACTTCAGCATCACCGACGAAAAAATTCACAAAGCCACAAATAACACATGAAAGCATTGGTCGTATGAACTCCGTTTCATGGATAAGAAGGTGGAATTCATGTTCATAGAGATTTTTTATTGAACTGGTATCTGGTAACAATATCAAACTGAAGATAATTTTANAAGATATATGTTTGTCTTTTGACATATAAATTATGAAGGTCTGCAAAGGAAGCCATTTCTAGTTTTATTGTATTTTGGATTCAACTACTGCTGATAAGCTGATAGCTTTTGACGAACTTCTTGACTTTTGACGAATATCATCGCCAATATTTTTTTTTCAGAAAGTACTAGTGCTAGGAAACTTAAAAATATCAGCAATGATATCCCATTATTTACTTGGAATATGTGCAAAAAAGATCATAATTGCTGCATATTGCTTTATTGTTTATGATTTAGTAATATTGTTAAACACACACACTTTAAAAAATACTTACGTTCTAATTCACTTCGTTCAAACGAACGTAAAATATTTATCTTCTATATTTCGAATATAAGTAAGACAACATACGATGTTGTAAATTAAATTGCAGGTGCGCTTGCGGACCATAATTCTGATTTTATTAGCAATAATAAACAAATATTGATAAATGATTAACAGCTTTTTAACGTCACTAATACTAGATGACAATGGATGATTCACAATCCTAAATTTTTGGTTATTCTAAATCTACTTTGAATAGGTTCTAGGGCATACATGTTTTTGCAGTTATCGCTTTTCCAACGACCATGGAGTTTTAATAGTCTTTCTCAAATAGGGGTATTTGACTATATAGCTGCTGTCATACCGCCTGGATCTTAAGCTATTATGTAAAGCTTAGATGATTGTAATCTAGGGAAATAAAGCAGTTCTTCAAAATTTCTCTACACCTTGTGTAAGACTATTTCCGTTATTCTACGGAACAAATATAATTCAGCTTTTCTAGGAATATTATCTGACTCTATGTAGCGTTSTAGTAATGCTAGAGGGCAATATTTGGTCCCCGTTCTAGCGATGTAAATCTTGTTACCTTCTCGGTAAATGTATGCCTTACTATTTGGAATGAAAATTACTATAAGTGCTTATCAAAAGAGATATGTATCGGTTTAATGTTTTACAATTCATTGAATCACAGGAACCCAGCCAGCAAAATCAATTGCACATGAAGTGGCTACACGTAACTCTCAGTTTCAAGGATGAGTTGTCTGTTGCGTCATTGTCTATAAACCGCTTTATTATTTCAATGGTGATAGGTTTCTTCTTGTTTTGGGAGTTATCCGGGATCTTTTGGCACTTTCGACTATATTCCTACAGCTACTCTCCAGGGGCGGATCTAGCATTTTTGCAGACTAGTTTCCAACTCAAAAATGTTGTATTGACATATGCTAATTAATCAAAACATGAATATTCATTACGACGGTCCAAATAATTTAACTGCCTGCAAAATGATGCGATTCTAATAAACTGATTTAAAAAGCTGATTCAGCCAATTTTAAGTTACACAGAGACGACAATGCGCGGTAGATTTCACTAGCGACCTGCAGTAGCTAACGAATTCCAGGAATTGTATTTCGAGTTTACTGTAAATTATAATGTGTAACTTATTTGGTTCAAGTGTTTTCATTGTTTTGAATGACCTTGCCATTAATTTCAATACATACCAAGCACGAAGAATGTTCACATGAAGTCAAATCAGTCGGGGTTTCCAATGTATGGGAACCTTTCTTGAACGGTTTCACGAGTGGCTTGACCACATTATTCCGACACAAAAATAACAGATTCAAACAGTTTTGGAAGCAATTGTGGCCTCAACCCTTTTTCGATTTGCTTAGAATTGTTATAGGTAATTATTTCAAACAATTTCCCTCAAAATCCGTTGCTAACTGAATGACACAAAGTTTGCCAAAGATACTGACATAAAACCTTACCAGGGTAGGGTAGTTACTGGATTCGACTGGTTTCTGACTAGTTTCTGGTAAGGTCCTACTCCTCCCTTGTACAAATCAAAGCTCGATTCTGATTGGCTAACATCAGTATTCAGGATTCCTGTGTGAACAGCTTTGATCGCGGAAACTAGTCGGGATACCTTTGTGAATCACTGATGACGTCAAAAGAAACTAGTTCACTCACCTCGCGATAGTCCGCTGTCAGACAG